AATATACTTTTTTTTATATATTATATTTACATATTATTATATATTTATTATTAGAGCTTAAAAATTTTTTCAGAATTTTTTACTAATTTTTTAGTACTTTCCTTATTGTCAACTATTTTTATCAATGAGAAAATGCGATACTAAAAAATTCTCAGAATTCTATAAGAAGAAAATAAACAATTTTTGTCACTTACTGTTTTTCTATAAAGTTGATAATGCTTGAATAAAAAATTATTGGAAACCAATATTCAGCGATTTTTAATAATTAATATCATTAATATCTTGTTAATTGTTGCAAAAATTGTAAAATGATAGAAAACTTTTCGACTCAGTTTAATTCGCTCTTTGCGAGAGTTTTATCGTTTCTTATCAAACACCTTGTATATGAATTAATTATATATACAGAGTATTTCCTCTAACTTGATTATCTAAAATATTTTTGTTGTTTTTAATGATACGAGAAAATATCAAAGGAGAAAGTTGTTCGATTCAATGAGGCATTTTATTATTGAAAAAATTCTTCTCAAGGTCATATTTTTTGAGATTTCAAAGTCACTTCCACTTTTTTAAATGGAATTGTATCCCTTTTTTTAAAAATATTGTTCTAATTATTCTGTATATAAAAATATTAAGATAGTGATAATAAAAAAACCAATAGTTTACTAGAGATATTTTATATATATATTTTTAAAGCTATGTGTTTTCTTTTCAATTGATTTATCTCGTTATTCTGTTTATAAAAGTATTAAGATATATTTATAAAAAAATTAATAATTTACGAACATTTTATATCAATATGTGCCAGAATAAAGTATAAAATATCTCGTAAGCTATTGATTTTTTACATCACTATCGTAATATTTTTATATTCAGAATAATTAGAAAAATATCATACTGTGTAAAATATATCTATTTCATTCTTAAATTTTATTTTATACGAAAAAAATTTATATGTATGTATCATTAATTTTATTGATAGTAGAGAAGATTGAGGGAGAGGAAAGAACAAAAAGTGAAATAAGATATAAGAGATAGAGAATGAATAGCTTTAAAAAAAAAAAAAATAAATGCGAGTACTACCAGATTTCAACCAACCGAGAAAATGCGCATAGAAACCGCTGTTTACACCATGCATAAACGCTGGGTGGCACTTAAGATGTCGTTTAAACACAGACAGGAAACACGTGAAGACACGTAAATATTTTGTTCTACTTGCTCCCGAATATCAGAAGTACAAAATATCCACATGGTAACATTTGTTAACGATGTAACTTACGATGATCATTATCAGTTGAATCTTTTCAAGACATTGTTATAAATATTTACAGAAAAATTCTGCTTAATATTCAAATATAATTAATCAATACTGTCTGATAAGCTAACTTTCGTGAAAATATTATACTATTAAACTTGCGAAAAAACAAATAATTGGAAAATTACTCAAATTGAATATTATACATTTTTTGGTACATAGTTTGTATGTTTTTTTTTTCACTAATTTAATTCACTAGTATTTTCCCACAAGGGAACATTAAGAAACGAACTAATTAAAATTTGTACAATCTTAAATAGTTATAAACGATACTTTAAATAATAAACTTGCTTCGACTTTATTTTTAATAAAAAAGATTATTCTCTAAACGATTATAAAAATATCCAATACTTCTGCAGTAAATTAGTACATGTAAAATATTAATTAGTACATGTAAAATATTAAATTTATCTAATACAAATTTTGAGCAAATTGAGCAATATTAAATTTAATTTATTATAATTTACCTTTTGGTATGGGGCGTAATGGTGCTGGCCGATACAAAGTTCCTAAACTCTCCATTAGCCCAGTATAAGATGCAGATGTGGTACCCTCAGATAATGACGAATGGGCATGCGGAAATGAAATGCAAGTTCTGACAGTTCTGACAGTTTCGCATTGCTCGCAACTTTCGATGCAAGGACAACGTATTGGTGGGAGTTGTATTGGAAGTGGCTTAAGAATATCTATATCAATGTATCAACTTCGATAAATTAAAACTTCTATAAGATATATAAATAATAATATAT